GCGTGCGTGCGTGCGTGCGTGTGTACCTACGCGTGCGTGCATGCGTGCATTAGGGTTAGGGTTGGTACACGCACGTACACGCGGGTACACGCACGTACACGCGGGTACACGCACGTGCACGGGGGTACACGCAGATACACGCACGTACACGCGGGTACACGGAGATACACGCGCGTACACGCACGTACACGCGAGTACACAAGCAAGTACACGCGGGTACACGCACGTACACGCGGGTACACGCACGTACACGCACGTACACGCAAATTTCCTGGGGGAGGCCCCCCCAGACCCCCCCGCCATGTGCTTCCGCGCCTAACAGGCGCTCACTGTGGGGTGGTGTGCCCTTTTTGGGGGATGTGCCCTTAAAATCTGGAAAAATACTGTCTAGCCTCAGCTCTGGATCCACAGGCACTTGGAACGTCTCAATAAAAAAATTAATGGTAAATAAACACGAAATGTACCACCTTCGTAAAATGCCGGTCAAATGCTCATCTGCAACACCCAATTAAGTACACCGCACGCCCGCCCGCGCTGTGCACAAACAACATGAATAAGACATAATCAAACATATGTTGTTTGTGCACAGCGCGGGCGTGCGGTGTACTTGCGTGTTGCAGATGAGCATTTGACTGGCATTTACAGGTGATTATAGGTGAAATAGAGTAGAGAAACATGAAGACTTTGGTACATTTCATGTTTATTTACCATTATTTTTTTTTATTGAGACGTTCCAAGTGCCTGTGTCTGGATCCGCCCCTGACACACACGCGACCGGGCGCACACACGTGGGTATGGTTGCACGCACGCGTGCACCTATATTATAGGCGTAAGTAAACTCACATAATTTTTGTGCCTCGGTTGGGGGGGTAAAAAAGTTTTCACTGAAATACGGTCATTTGGGTCAATGCCGTGGACGATACTATATCCGCGAGAGGGAGAGGAAAATACTGAGGGGAAGGGAGTGAGAGGGGAGGAGGGACGGAGGAATGTAGACAGAGATGTGCATACGCATGCGCAATACACACGCGCAGACAAACGCACGTACGGCACAAACACAGGCACGGATGCACATATTCCTTTTAATATAGTTACTTCTCTCGCCTTCTCCTTCACTTTCTCTATGTATGGTGCACTCCATAGATATAATATAACACGTGTTATAACTTATATGATATCTATGGGTGCTTCGCTCTCGCGGGCCCTCGGCCCGCTCGGAGCTCCGCTATGAACCTAGAGATGGCGCTTTCATCACTTTTGAAAATGGCGCCGATTTTGTTGTGGCATTTTAAGGGGCACAGTTGTTTTATACCTATTTACAGCCCCACAACACACTGTATGGAAAGTAGAGAGACGTAAAACATTTCATATTTACGAGGTAAGCATTCTCCGTAGCCTTATGATGAAGTTAGCGCTAGGTAATGCATTACACCTGCTCAGGCAATTTGTGAGGCTCTCACACACACACCTCTCTGAGGCAATTTGTGAGGCCTCTCACACACACACCTCTCTGAGGCTCTCTCTCTCTGAGGCTCTCTCTCTCTCTCTCTCTC